TATCTCCCAAATGACCCCTTTATGGAAAGTAGACAGTCTGCGATATTTAGTAAGAGGCATGGAGAGTTTTTTGACACTGTAATTTTTTGCCACTTTTTTTTTTGGAAAATGAAGAAATTTAAAAAAAAAAGTTACAATTTTTTTTTTACATACTGTTACCAGTGCAGTGCAGCATCATCATATAACTGGAGTGGTGGTGATCAGGGACACTGATTGGTGACCGTGTGGAAAAAATGAAATAATGTATTTTTTTTAATTTTTATTTTTTTTATTTTTCATTACTTTTTTTCTTTTACGATTGTTGTTTTTATAAAACACTGTGACCAGAGTAATATAATGTTATAATTTTTTTTTTCACACAGTATGATTGCCTATAGTAGTGAATTTCACTGCTATAGGCAAGCATTTAACTGAATGTAATCAATTCATTCAGTGTTTTTTGTTTTGTGATTGGCGGCAGCTAATCACATGACACAGATGTGCTGTGTATGGCCCAGTCTATACCATGTGATTACTGTGACCAATCACAGCTAGCAACACAATTGTATACAATGGATGGCATGAAAGGAAGCCATCTATTGTTTACAACTGTCATGTGTCCTGCTGCGATTGGTCACATCAGTCACATGGTACCAGCAATGGGCCGGTACACAGATCAGTCATCGGCTGTGTCCAATGGACACAGCGGGTCACAGATATCACCACAGCTCGGCCCACCCAGATTGATGAAAGTCCCTCTTGGCTGTCATTTTGTTATTGGGAACTGGTTGAATTAAGCTTTGTCAATACCTGGAACCTGGAAGCTGATTGGTTTCTATGCAAAGCTGCACCAGATTTTGCACTCTCCAGCTTTAGTAAATCAACCCTACTGGCACTTGTTGTGACAGTGACAGTAGCTTTGGGAAGGTCCTTTTCTATCCCAGCATGATTGTGCCCCTATGGTCCATAAAGACATGGTTTGAAGAGTTTGGTGTGGAGGAACCTTGAGTGATCTGCAGAGTCTAACATCAACTCTGCTGAACAACTTTTGGGATGAATTGGATTCCAGGTCTTCTCGTTCAACATCAGTACCTGATCTCATGATCTCACAAATGCTCTTTTGGAGCTAAATGGAGATGCAAAGGGGGGTGGGGAGAAAAGTCATATGAATTCCCATGGTTTTGTAATGAGATGTCCAACAAGTTGATACATGTGTGATGGTCAGGTGTCCACAAACTTTTAGACCTACAGTGTATCTCCTTCATTGTTGACCTAACAACGAATAAACAACGAAGTGATGTATCTTTTATGATAGCAAATTACTGGCTTTTTTCCCCCGAACCAATTACTTTTTTTAAAGGCTGACTCATTCCTCTGTCCTAACCCCAGTGTCCTCCATCATTTGGATCCCTCTCCTTGATGTCTAATGGAGTGCCCTGTTCCACATTACTTATCAAAGCAGTTGTTTTTTTTTTTTTTTTTGCTTTTAGCATTGCATCCTTCTACTGAGCTGCCACTTCTATTGATCACATTAATTCTGTAAACGAATGTTTATTCAGCACTAACAGAGCAGACATAAATTGAACAAAATGATAAAAGACCTGAAGAAGAATAGCCTGATTCATCATCAGCTAATAATGTCTTTAGCAAATGGGGAAATATTAGTTTGTTGCCATTTCCAATCATTTTCTTTGTTCATTAAATGTTAGACATGTTCAGTGAAACTTTTTAGTGTTGCACACTTAGATAATGTAGGCAGTAATTGTACAGTTTATTACCTAGTTGTGTGTCCCTCTCTCTTTCATTACCAAGTCCCTGATTCATGATCGTTCATTGTTGTCATAGAAATTTAAATTTCATTTTCTGGTACAATTAATAAGGAGTTAGTGGCCTGGCCTGGCTTTGAATAGCAAATAGGATCTTAAAGCTGAACTCCAGCCAAAAAAGTAATTTACCTCTCGCCTAATGAATACAGTATGTGCAACTGCAGGGCAGGGATTTGTATTTTGCGCATACTGTATTTGTCCATGGTGCAGAGCTGTTCTGTGCTGAGAGCACACTCCCAACACACTGACTAAGCTGTCCCCAGCATCTCTCGGTCACCGTTTAGGCAGTCCGCCTCTGCCTTCCGTGGTTCAGAACCTCATAAAGGGCTGGCAGGCAGAGGCGGCAGCAAGATGTCACAGTTTGTGTAAACCCTACCAATTAAATTGTCTTATTTGCTCATTTTTGCTTTGGAAAACATATAATTGAAAGTATTTTGTTTATGTGTTCGATACGTACAAAAAAAAACATGTTAATCATTTCAGAAATTCAGAACAGTCTTGTATCCTCTGCTCACTTCCCGTGTTATCTCAAGGAGTAAAATCAGCCGTCCTAGTTCTTATCTTAGACTACAAAACAATAAGTGTCCATGTTTCAGGCAGGCCATAGACGGGGTGTTTGGCCAATAAACAAAAAATCGGTCGTTGCTGGCACCAATGTCCACGAAAAACAGCCGTTTTTTTATGGATTTTCCAGCATGACCAATAAAAGTAAACGAGAAGATCCGTGAAAAACAGCCGACGGTATTGCCCCACTAACGGCGTGAATATCGTCCGATTTTTCTTGCGGACGAAAATTCGGACGATAAACGACCCGTCTGTGGCCTGCATTAGAAAATAGGAGGGTTTGAGAAGTTTATCAAAAGACAACTAAGAAGGGCTGACACCACTCAGTCCACAAAATAGCTGTGTTGTCAGCCTACAGCAAGACTTAGGAGTTGAATGCATGTCTGTGAGATCGACAGGTATTTCTCTGTACTTGCAGAGTCCTGGAAGTTGAAGACTGGAGATGTGTGCAGATACGGTATGGGGATGCAGCAGCTGTATGTGAACACAGCCGCAGGTTCCACTCACCCACACCTGCGCACCTGTCAAATGAGTACTTGTAGTTGTGTTTGTACAGCTGCTGCATTCCCAAAGAGTAACAAGTGGCTCCAGCTGCATGACCATACCACTCATTCACATGGCCAAAGTACCTGTGTTGTAAATAAATATAGATGGCGCCACAGAAAAAAAAATATATTACTCTCACTAAACCAAACACAAAAAGAAAATATATTCTACCAGCTGCAAAATCCGCCCTATAACCATAAGGTGTACAAATAATAAAACAAACAATTTGTGCTAGTAAATTAAATCACCAAAATTATTAAGAAAAAAAAAGAAGGGGACATACCCCGAAAGCTTGTCCTCCAAATTGTATGTTAGTGCAAATAAAAAAAGTATCACGGACAGTACTCAATTGTTTCTGTAAGAAAAAAAAAAAAATGTGAAAAAATTTGAAAAAAATGTCCCATAAAAATAAATCATATAAAGTCACATTAAATAACTCTAAATTGGTATAGTTGATGAAAATAATTTCAAACAAAATCCACCAAAAAGCTGTGTCAATCCACCACCAAATAAACTAAATAAACTCACCAGAGCTATATGCTGATAATATTATAAATCAGCATAAAGCGCTTTTTGCTCTGGGAGCGATGATCAGCAGACTGATGAGACAATACTTGGCTTTAAGCTCGATATCCAGGGAGCAATAGTCTGCAATAGCCAATACCTGGCTTGAGGATCGATATCCAGGGAGCAATACTCTGCAGTAGGATGTGCCACTAAATAGATCCACTTCTTATAGACACCACCATATCCATAGGATGTTAGAACAACCACTTGGAAAAGAACAAAAGCTCATGGTGCAGTACCTTTTAAAATCATCTCTTTTAATACAAACACATTGCACTTACAAAAAACGGTGTCTTAGCCAACACCAGCATAAACAGCATATCCAGATAAAATAAAACAAACCCAGCCGCCTTGCACATGCGCCGTACCGACCACTGGGAACGTAATAACGTCACAGCAATCAAGCCCCGCTGTTATGATCCGCCAGGTGGTGCCTCCGGCAGAACACTGGACAGACCTACCCAAAGCGTGGAGTCTAAGTCCCGGTCTGTGCTTTCACCAGGGCCCCTGATGGTGGGGATGGACTTGTAACAGACCAGGGCCAGGTCACGACCTCTGAGCAGGCCCACCAGTGGCAGAGGGAACCTCCAGGGATGTATAGGTACCGGGAGAGCCAGATGTGAGGAGGACGGCGGGACCTAGCAGGATGGGTCACGAGCAGCGGTCCCGTGGGGTAAGCGAGGTACAGAATCGGCAGGCAAAGAGTAGTCAGGTCACACGCAGGGTCAGCAGGATAAGTCAGTCCGCAGATAGGTCAAACAAGCCGGGGATCAGGAGAGGAGAAGGCAGAGTAGTCAGGGCAATCCGGGTCAAACACAGGAGAAAGCAGCGTAGTCAGGACAATCCGGGTCAAAGCACAGGAGAAGGCAGCGTAGTCAGGGCAATCAGGGTCAAAGCACAGGAGAAGGCAGCGTAGTCAGGGCAATCAGGGTCAATATGCAGGTACAGGAAATCAGGATCACAGATAGACCTTGCAACAATTTGTGACAGTGCAGGGCATCTTTAAATATTGCACCCTGCACTGTCATTGGCCACCCGAGGCGCGCCCGCGGCTCCTACTGCGTATGTGCGGCGTCCTGTCAGCTGCGGCCCGCCGGGACCTAGTGCTTGTGTCCCGGCGTGAGCCGCCGCTAGTGCGCGTGCGCTGGAAGAGGAGCCACCGCGATCCCTGACTCCCGCCTGCGCCTTTCGTCATCGACGTCCTTTTGAGACAGAGAGTGATTGAGGACAATTGAGTCCTCAATCTGTTTATCTCAACTGCACTGCAGATGAATGAACAGAAAGCACTTTGTATAGAGGCTTTCTGTTCATTCACAACCTGAAGCATAGCACAGTTTACTATGCTTTAGTTTTGAATGAACACAGGAGCGATTAGCACTGATCACTGACTGTGTTCACCGCTCTGATCACCCCCCTGCTGAACTGATGAGGCCCGAGCTCCATACAGGAGGCAATTTTGTTAACATATAGGATAAAGAAAGTATATATTCCTAAATAAAGCCATTCATATCATACAGTATGATCTCTTTTCACAGATACTATCTTCCCAGCAAGTTTTCCAACTGTGACATAGAGGAATACAGTGAGTTTCTGAATACCGGTGGAGGAGCCTGTTTGTTTAATAAGCCCTCAAAGGTGTGTATTCCCTCCCTTCATGTACTTTTCATCTCCTATTAATAGACCACTCTGGCTGTTATAGTGAAGATACTTTTTGTAGAAATGCAAAATTAAATTACTTTTTTACTTTTTCTTTTTTTTTTTGGATGGTGTGGAAAGGGATTAGACCCCTTATCAAGTTTGTATTGCTGTCTGTGCCCCCATTAGGGAGATCCCCCCTCTCTATTTGTTCTGTTTACTGTTATCATTGAAAGTGAAAGAAAATCAGAAATTTTGGGTTGTCCAAATATAGAGGGGAAATCTTCCAAAGGGGACACTAGTTCTGGTGCCCTGGGGGTCCCTAGAATTTCCTCTCAATTCCTGTATGGCTATGGGACTGGAAGTGAAGGGAAATCTCCCCAATGGGAAATCTGATAGGGGTTATAACCCTCGCTTGCTCTATCCAAAATGAGAAAAAAAGTTTTGCCTGTAGGTCTACTTTAATATAACATATACAGTCATTACACACGCCATATTGTAACTTGATGTTATTGAAAATTACATTTCCTTTTCAGTCTTCAGCTGCTTTCATTTTCTGTAAAATTCACTGCAATATGGCAACCTGAAAGTTTTTTTTGTACACTGTGGGTGCAAAGATCGCCCCCCCAGAAATGTTATTATGTGCTTGTCTGATTGGCTCACGAATTTTACCAGGAGTCTGCACTAAAATACAAGGCAGGTTTTAGGCATCCTCTGCAACATCTTTTTTTATGAGATGCTCCCCAAGGGTTCTAAGGCTTGGCTCACATCTCCACGGGTGGTGCCGCTGCGGGACCCGCACAAATACTTGCAACCGCACCACCCACACAGAGGAATGCGATACCCGCGGGTGTGTGCCATTAATTTTAATGGCACACCGCCCACACTGGAAATCGCAACCGTACTGGGATCCTCGGTTCCCATGCGGGCTGTGATTTCCGAAGAAGTGCAGGGACTTCTTCCCTGCGTGTCCCGGAGCACGGGAGTCCATTCAAATAAATGGGCTCTCGTGTCTGCGCAAAACACGGCCTGCATTGCCGCACAGATTTGGACCTGGCCTAAAAGGATGCAAACACTGCAACTTTTCTCATCAGAACCATGAATGTGTACCAGCTGATTTAAAATGAATTAGCCACTTTGATTCAGAATCAATATCCAAAGGCACAAAATGGAACAAAGAGCTTTTTTCTTCAGAGCAGAAATAGGAAGGAATCTACAACAACTTTTGTTAAAATCCCAGCAATGTTCACAGATCACCCAGAGGGGATTGTTTTTCTTCTCCACAAAAAGAGGAGTTACTCTTTAAACTATTTACAAAGATCATTAATGTTCAGACTATTTCAAATCAATCACCGATATCAGCATTTCTCACATTTTGACAAATTATAAATTATGAGTATAATGTAGATAGTAAAAAACAAACACAAATATTACAAAAACTATTAGTCATGCATCTCTCATGTACCATCCCAGTGTACCTTCCAGGGGGTCTGTGCTGTAATAACATAATAAAGGTGGAGATTGCATGAGAGAAGGGAGTCACGTAATAGAACCAACATGACTAGTAACACACAGTTCACATGCACACCCCCCCACCCCTCCTATAGAACAAGGGCCAATGTCAACCACAAGCAGTGTTAATATGATGGCAAATTTTAATTTAGTTTTAGTCATAATCTTTTTACTAAAATGCTATTTTAGTTTTAGTTATATTTTAGTCATCTGAATTTTTTTAGTTTAAGTCGTGTTTTAGTCAACTAAAATCTCCAGACATTTAAGTCAACTAAAGTATCCTACATTTTAGTCGGCTAAAATCTCCAGTACATTTTAGTCGACTAAAATCATATTAGTTGACTAAAATCTAATGGGTTTAGTTAAATTGCAATGCATTATTTAAAGTGCTACTAAACCCACAACAATAAAATCAGTCTGTATATGTAGTAAAGCATGCTTGTTATACTCACTGTGGAATCTAAGGGGTTAATCTTGCAATGTTGTGAAAAAGGGATATTTGATCCTCTCCTCTGATCCTCCCCTTCTTCTACTGTCCCCAATCCATTTGCTTAGTTTTTTATTTTTCTTGGGAGAGTGCATGTGATCAGCACAGGGCCAATCAGCACTGTCCAGACAGAGGGTCAGAGGTTATGCAGCCTCATAGAAGAGAATGAAAACTCCTCTTACAAGCTGTAACCAGTGCTCTGCTGGATACTGATAGAAGTCACAAGACTACTCTAACTGCTGTTGAGAAATGGTATTTAGTAGTTTATATTTACTAAAAAAATCTAATAACGTGTTATTATTTATGGTAATAGTGCCGGTTCACATATATGCAGATTTGAACCGCATCCAATCTGCATTGACATGTGAAATAACATTGCTTCCTGTGCTGCGGATTCAGTGCCAATTGAAAAAGAGTCCTGTCTGAATTCTGATTGGTGCAGTCCGGTTCAGGTGCGGATTACAGGCTCATTGACTTCTATGGGAACCGCTTCCAAATTGCACGTCATGAGTTTGTGAACACGATTTCAGGACGGTTTTCTCTCTTCAAATCCTGACCTGACTGCTTTTCAATTCACATTGAAACTGGAGCTGTAAGGTTTTTGAACATGCAGTACAGACACAGATTAATGGTTGTGATATAAAAGGTGTTTATGTGAATAAAACCAAGTCATAAACAGGTGGGTAAAGTAGTTGTTTGGGTTCAGGACAGGTTTAGATCAGGTTCAGGACAGGTTTAGATCAGGTTCCAGGACAGGTTTAGGTCAGGTTCAGCACAGGATTAGGTCAGGCACAGGACAGGATTAGATCAGGTCCGGGACAGGAGTTGATCAGCTTCAGGACAGAAGTTGAACAGGTTCAGGACAGGATTTGATCAAGTTCAGGGCATGATTCGATCAGGTTCAGGACAGGATTCGATCAGGTGCAGGACAGGAATCGATCAGGTGCAGGACAGGAATTGATCAGGTGCAGGACAGGATTATATCAGGTTCATAACAGGATTATATCAGGTTCAGGACAAGTTTAGAGAACAGGTTTAGATCAGGTTCAGGACAGGATTCGATCAGGTTCAATACAAGTTTAGAGAACAGGTTCAGGACAGGTTTAGATCAGGTTCAGGACAGGTTTAGATCAGGTTCAGGACAGGTTTAGATCAGGTTCAGGACAGGATTAGATCAGGTTCAGGACAGATTTAGATGTGGCTCAGGACAGGATTAGATCAGGTTCAGGACAGATTTAGATGTGGCTCAGGACAGGATTAGATCAGGTTCAGGACTTTAGAGCAAACCGTGCTGAAATTTTGTTCAAAACTGATGACATGTGCGATTCATTTTCGTTTAGTTTTCATTCTTTGATAAACATTGAATTGATTTTAATCTAGTTGTTATCAGTGAAAACTTGCCGCTGATGAAAATTATTATAAAAATATTTTCATCTACGAAATTACCTCTAACCACAAGGTCCCAAATACAGGGTGCTTATCCACTGGCTAGAAGGTGAAAGTACGACAGGAAGGCAGACCCCAACCAAACTGGAGAGCTTTGTGCTGCTGTTTAAAAGGTTTATGGCTGATGCCATGTTTCCTGTTAATTTATTATAATTGTGTTTTACTGCAGCTTTTGGATCCTCCGGAGTGTGGTAACGGCGTTGTGGAAGCTGGTGAAGAATGTGACTGTGGAACTGTTGAGGTATATGAATGATCCGCAAGTGTTCTGTGTCCTGGAATAGATCCTGCCTTAGTGGCTGGCATGGTTTAACACAGGACTTGAAAAAGCCACTCGCCCCGCTCGCCAAATGAGAAATGGAGAAATCCTTCTGTGGCGAGCGGCAAGCACAGATGATGGAGCGGCTGTACCTGCGCTCCAAGCCTCATTGTGAAGCTGAGTTCTGGCTTCCAACTTCCAGTTTCTGGCTTCTTCAGCACCGCCATTACACTGGCAGCGCAGCTGAGTGGACAGGTGCAGGAGAGTTCCGCTCTCCTCCACTGAGAGGAGACACCCTCTCCACCACAAGTCTTGTTCCTGCTGTACAATGAAAACCATAGCAAATCTTGATGTGAAACTGGCTTCCTACTGCTTTTTGTCATCCCAAAAAATAATTTTTTGGTGTGTTTTTTCTTCATGGAATAGATTGCAATCCACACACAGCCATTGGAGTGGTATTTTGCATCAGAAAAAGGGTATTACACAAGTCTTGGTCCTGCTGTACAACACAAACCATGGCTGCTCTATTAGCACATCTTTGGTAAAATGTTTACTAATGTTATGCCATGTTTTTTGGCATCTAAATAAGCACTTTTTTGTTTTTTCTTAATGCACTACTTCTCTAAGCTCTCTTTTAATAAGATGATGGAGATAAAATATGCAAAATGTTTACTATTGTTATTTATTTTATTCAAAGTTTTTTGGCCATCAAGGCACTTTTTTCTTAATGCCACACTTCTCTAAGGTCTCTGCTGGAGATAAAAAATACAACATGTTTACAGTAACTATTATTCCATGTTTTTAGGCATCAAAATAAGCACTTTTTCTTATGCTATACTTCTGTAAACTAAACTTACATCTATTAAAAGAGACTTTAGTTACTAAAGTCTCTTTTTAAAGATGCAGGAAATAAACAAAAAAAATACAAAATGTTCACTACAGGTTTAAAGCTGTAAAACTTGATATTTTGATTGCACCCTATTGCTATTAATCTATTGCTGTTATATTTTTACATTCACATAATAAACCTATGTTATAATTGCAGTTTTTTATATTTTGGACTCTTTATTCTAAAGAAAAATGTAATTTCATAAGCTTTAAGGGGGATTGGTTGGCGGCAGGGCTGGGGGCAGGGTTGGGGGATGGGCCAGGGGTGGGGTTGGAGGCGGACCTGGGCAAGGTTGGGTGGGGGCAACTGGTGGAGAGTAAGGTTTGTGCCTGGCTAGCAGGTCTAGACTTGAAATTTTAAGCCTTGATTTAACATATTAAGCGGATTGTAATATTATGATTTATTCTTACTTGTTCATTCTAATGTTTGGTAGGAATGTGCAAAAGAGGGAGAAGAGTGCTGCAAGCACTGTAAGTTAACAGAAGAATCACAGTGCAGCGATGGGCTGTGTTGTGCCATGTGCAAGGTAAGACAAACTTTCTTTAATATATAAAGCATGCAAGGCAGGATGGCATAAAACTTCAATATAAACCCATCACCAATCCACAAGTTAAAGGATAAGTGCATTTTTAAAATGCATTTAAAGCAGTATTAAACCCAAAAACCAAGCTGTTGCATCTCACCAATCCTTAAATATTTTTTTTTAAGCTTTTTCCTTTATTTTCACCTGGTGATCCAGTGAGTAACACACTTCCTGTCTTAGGGTTTTTTCACTCTGGATGGAGGAGCAATGAAGGCACCCATGGACAGAAGCATTGTCAGTTTGGGACGAGAGTAGTGTTAAGTGGACTAGCATATTTAGATATCCTCGACTAAAAAATGAAAGGTGAACTCCAGCTAACACTTTTTAAGCAGTTAAAGCAACAATTTCTTCCTTTTGGGATAAAGATTTTACATAAATGAACAAAAGATGACCATTGCAAGCACCCCTGTCAATGTTAAATGTTTTTTCTCAACCCTTTAACTGACACTTTTGCTGGTAGCACCACCAGGTGAAAATACAGGGAAAAAGGCCTAAACATGAAAACTAATGCAGCCACCACATCCAAAAATTGGTAAGCTGCAATGTAGTACATTTTTGTTTTGGGGTTTAATATTGCTTAATGGCTCCTCTTTTATTCCTCGATAAGGTTTGCAAATTTGATATTTTCTGTTAATTTTCCTCTCGTGAATGTTGCCATCAGAACAGCCAGTCTCAGGATAAACAATATCCTATTCTTGAAATAAGCAGGATATCTGTACAGAATTATTTAAAATGAGATAGTACAGAATCTCTTTAGGTGTGCATGATTCTAAAAACTTACCCACTAACAATTGCCTGGCCAAAGTCACATGGATTAAAAAATAACCAAAAGAAAGTTTTATTTTTATAAAAAAGGCGTATTTATTCTTTAAAAAGATCATTTCTGTATATGGTGGTCAGTGATGGGCCTTCTGTGCTCCTGTTATTATTATTATTATTCAGGATTTGTATGGCACCAACAGTTTGCACAGTGCCTTACAAAGTAAAGGGAGACTATCCAGTTACAAAAAAAATCAACACAAGAGGGTTAGGAACCCTTCTCAAAAGAGTTCGTAATCTTAAAGGATAAGTTCATCTTTTAACAAAAAATAATAAATGTACATTTTTTTTGCAAGTAACAAAATGTGCATTTATTATTTTTTGTTTGTGGAGCCTCCAAAGCAGTGGTCTCCAAACTCCAAGGGCAAGATGCGGCCCTCTGCTTGCTGTTATCTGGCCCTTGGGGCACTATTTCATCCACTGATACCAACAATGGAGCATAATTTCTCACACATCTAATCTAATGAATTGCTATAAGCAGTTCATCATGCACATTTTGTATATATAGACACATAATTTCCCACACAGACACCAATGATGGGGCACAATTTCTCCCAATGACACCACGATTGGGCACAATTTCTCCCAATGACACCAACAATGGGGCCCACTGACACCAATGATGGGGCATAATTCCACCTACTGACACAAATGATGAGACACTATTCCTCCATATGACACCAATTATTTGGCACAATTCCTCCCAATAACACCAAACGATAGGTCACAATTTCTCCCAATGACACCGCTGATGGGGCACAATTCCTCTCACTGACACCAATGATGTGGCACAATTTCTCCCACTGACACCAAAGATGGGGCATTGTTTTTGCTCCACTGACATTGGGACCTTTTCTCCTCTCAAAGGTCACAGTCCGGCCCCCCTAAAGTCTGAAGGACAGTAAACTGTCCCTTTGTCTAGGAAGTTTGGAGACCCCTGCTCTAAAGCATTGCACCAGCAATCAGATTGCTGGTGCCATGCAGGTCTCCCCCTGACCTGTCACTATCTCTGCTTGCTTGTACATCCCGTACGAGCGATCAGATACTACTGACAGAAAGGCTCAATGAACTCATTGAAAACTACAAGCTGACAGCCGCAAAGGCTGCCAGGATTTGTAGTTTTCCTGTTCACAGAGTGCTGTGAATGAATGATGAGAACCCTGCATATGGTTGTAACATGTTATGAAAGGTGAATTTATCCTTTATACGAAAGGTAAGTGAAGCAAAAACCAATAACTGTGAGGAATGAGCTGATGGAGAAAATAGAAGTACAGCAGTGATCATTGAACTCTTAGAGTGTAAGCTCCAAGGAGCAGGGCCCTCCTAAGTCTCTTGTATTGAACTGTATTGTTGCTGTAATGTCTCCCATTATATTGTAAAGTGCTGAGCAAACTGTTGATGCTATATAAACCCTGAATAATAATAATAATAAATTGAATTCTACCAGAGGGGAAGGCTCCCCGCTCTCCCCACCAGCAGATCATAATAGCACTGCGGGAGGAACTCTTGGTGTTAATGTGGGAATCAGGCAATTTTCATTCTTTCAACCAGTGGTTGAAGGAAAGAAAATTGCATAATGTATGGCTTATTTAGAAGCAGGTCAAGGATAACATGCTTTCAAGGGAACAATAGTTTGAATTTTGAGATGTGTCTGGATTGCTTATGGGTTGCTTATTTGCATTACTTGGTAAATTTAGCTTTTTTTGAAAGGCATTGCACAGTAAACGGGTTCTTAACCAGGGATATCCACATCCCTTTGGGGTATGGGAACTAAATGATTTGGCTATGGAAAGTGATAAAAAATAAAGTAGAATTCCAGTCACAATCTAACTAAGGCTAATCCTACTCCCATCTCTATTCTAACCCTATTCTATCTAACCGTGTAACTAAATCCTTATATCCGTATACTTACCTATTCTTAAGCCACTCTAGTCTGGTCTCCAGTGGCGGTTTCTGTGCAGAGGACAGATTGCTGAGAGTGGCTGGAAATGCCTGGGAAAGGACGTCACTAGACTTATTATGGGGCATCTGTTGTCAGCTAATAATAATAGTAAGCAAACTTAAATAAATAAATAAACAAAAATATAAATATAAAGTCCCATACACCTAAAGTCCAAAATAAAGTCCAAAAATAAAGTCCAAAAATAACCCAAAAAAAAAAAACAAAAAAAAAATTCTTGCAAGTGATTTCCCAATAGATCTTTCTCCCCGAATCAGGTGGTATACTCCAGAGAATCTTCAAAAACCTCAAAGAAAAATATCTCAACATAGTATATTACCCCAAATATTAAAATAATAAATGTTTGGGGTAATATACTATGTTGAGATCTTTTTCTTTGAGGTATTTGAAGATTCTCTGGAGTATACCACCAATCTGATTCGGGGAGAAAGATCTATTGGGAAATCACTTGCAAGAATTTTTTTGGGGTTTTTTTTTTTTTTTTTTTTGGCTATTTTTGGACTTTATTTTTGGACTTTATTTTGGACTTTAGGTGTATGGGACTTTACATTTATATTTTTGTTTATTAATTTAAGTTTGCTTACTATTATTATTTTTGTACTTCAGGGGAAGGAATGTTAAGTAACTTATTGGGGTTCTGGTAGAGGAAGTGAGTGCTAATTTTTGTATCTGTTGTCAGCTGCTCTTCATCTACAGTCCAGGGGTGTCAAATCGGTGGTCCTCCAACTGTTGCGAAACTACAAGTCCCATCATGCCTCTGCCTTTGGGAGTTAAGCTTGTAATTGTCAATCTTGCAATGCCTCATGGAACTTGTAGTTTGGCAACAGCTAGAGGGCTGCCAGTTTGACACCGGTGATCTACACAAAAGCCACTGCTGACAGCTGATCCTGGAACTGGAGCAGAGCAGCTTCAGAATAGGTAAGTACACAGATCCCCCACAGTTAATACCTTTTGTGTCTCTTGACCCTCCCTTAGATTGTAAGCTGTAATGAGCAGGGCCCTCTGATCCCTCCTGTATTAAATTGTATTGTAACTGTACAGTCTGGCCTTATGTTGTAAAGCACTGCGTAAACTATTGGCACTATATAAATCCTGTATAATAATAATAATCTTTTCTTTACAGGTTAGATAGAATAGGCTTAGAATGAGCCTGGGTGTAGGTTTAGCCTTTGTGATTGAAATGTAACTTTAAAAATAAGAAAATAAAATAGGATTCTGTAAACCTGAGATCAAAGTGCAAAAGTCGATTTGATATGTCAGTTGACATGTGAGTAACATGATTATAACTGGACCTCCATTCCATGTTTTAAAAGCCCCAAAACAACAGCAAAAATCTCACTAGTTCTAGCCAGTTCAAACTTTATATTGATGTTCTGACTTCCTCAGCTGTATCTTCATATCGTCAGCATTTTTACTTGTTTCCTAGAGTTGCTGTTTAGCATTTCAATATTGTGTTGGCAATATAGATCTGCTTCGTCATTAGAAGTCTAGAAAGAAGAGGATTGTGGGACCGGGCTCAGCTTACCAATACCATTGTATTTTATTTCTTATTAGAGAATATCGGTCCTTGTGCCTAGTTTTATGTCTAGAATTATATTTTAGGAATCACTGCTAATTTAATTGCTAGGACTATATTTAATCCTGTTCTATTTGTCAGTATTTGCTAATAAATTATCGGGCCAAATATTGATTTCATCTGTGCAGTGGCAACTTTCATTTGTATTAGTGCCTGGTACAAATTAATGAGCCATGCTTTTCTTGTACCTTTTCAATATGTAACCCAATTTCTCTTTGAAGCTCAATCCTAAAGGAATGTTATGCAGGGAAGCAGTGAATGACTGCGATATCCCAGAAATGTGTACTGGAAATTCCAGCCAGGTAATAGGAACATTTTTGCTTTCTTTTAAATAAATTGGTTTTGGTTTATTTCCAGCACACTTAGGCCAGTAAATCATTTCTTCTACTTTAAATTCCTGCACTTGGATAAATACACTGTATGGTCAAATACTTGTGGCACCTGTCCATCACATCTACACTATTAATGTTATTTACTAAAACTGCATGGTGCGGATGGGGCAGCTCTGCAGAGAAACCAATCAGCTTCCATAATTTATTGTTAAAGCTTAATTAAACAAGCTGAAGTTAGAAGCTGATTGGCTGCCATGCACAGCTGCACCAGATTCTGTGTGCTCCAGTTTTAGTAAATCTACCGCTATATGGCTAAGAGTATGTGGATAACCCTCCAAATGATTATACTCAATTGTTTCTATATTGTTAGTGTTACAATATACAAAGCTATTTTAGACAATTTTGTGCTTCCAACTTTGTGGTCACAGTTTTGGGAAAGCCAGCTTCATAAAGACATAGTTTGATGATTATGGTTTGGATCAACTTGAATGGCCTGTACAAAGTCCTGGCCTCAAACCTACTGAATACCTTTGAGATAAATTGAAATGCTGAATGCGGGACAGTTCTTCTCGCCCAATACCTCAACCACCTGACATCACAAATGGTATTTTGGCTAAATGGGCAAAAATTCTTACAAACACACTCCAAAGTGTTGCATAAAGCCTTTTTGGAAGGGTAGAGGCAGATATCACCGTAATGGGGACAAAACCAAATTATGCCCATCTTTTTGGAATTGGATGTCCACCGAACTTATATAAGTGTGATGTTCAAGTGTATAAAATCTTTTTCCCATATATTGTGCTTACCCTTTCATTCTAAAATGTCACTGGTTTCGGCTGACATGCTGATTTAGTGGCTTCGGTACTTTGAGTCGCTACTAAGCAACACTGTGCAATGTTTCCTAATACACCTCTGGGACCGATCATGTGATTACAGCAGAGCCTTCCACTTAGTAAAAGATTTCGACAGGAGCCTTGGAATAGAATTTTCAAATTTCCTAATATGGGGAATGAACTTTGCTTCTGGCACTATACACTGAATAAGCCCCACTGTGAGACTCATAATTACGCATTGCTGAAAGAACAATATGTATTGCTCACAGCAAGTAATGGCTTCCTTTTTTGTATTTCTAGACCAAAGCTGGAAAACAAATCTTATGGGCAATACAGACAATACAGGCCATTCTTCCTTAGAACATGTTTGAATATGAATTCCAATGTGTTATTCATAAAGGCTTGTTTTACTTTTCTTTTAGTGTCCTTCAAATATACATAAATTGGATGGGTATCCATGTGAAGAAAAGGAGGTAATGTATATATAACTTTCCATAAAAAAAACACTTTACAACAACTCTTAGCCTGATGTTTAAACCCCTTGATGCCGATTGTACGCAAATATGCGGCCTCTCGGCGTCTGGGCCTTGACGCCGAGCGGCCGCATATTTGAAAATACATATGTGCTGAGAGCACGCACCCTGCGTGCTCCCAGCATATATGTCCGCGACTCCTGGAAAGGTCCAGATCTCCCCTTTTGATTGGGACCTTTTCCGATCATGTGAGCGCCACGACGGCAAATCATGGCAGTCACATAACCCTAAAACGCCACCCCGCCTCCCAGCTTCTGAAACTCTTAAAGGGTCAGGAGGCGCCGGCGCAAAGAGGTTAAAAAAAATGTATGTTTCTGCTCTTCTTCTCCTTTTCCCTCTTCCTCATCTCTTCCCCCCCATGTCTTCTTCATCTCCCTTTCCCTCATACTTTCCTCTGTCCTCCCCTCTCTTATCTCTCCTCTTCATTTCCCATCCTTCCCTTCTCTTATACTCTCTCTTTGCTTCTACACTCTTTGTCTGCCCTATCCTTTCCTCTCCAACCCTTCTTTTCTTCTGCCCTCCCTTTCTTTTATCCTCTTACTGCCTCTTCCCTCTGCACTCCTTTCTTACTCTTCTCTCATCCTTTCCTCTGCCTTCCCCTCTCCTTCCTTACCTCCTCTCTCCTACCCATTCCCCTGTTTCTTCTTTTTTTTGCCTTGTCTTTCCCCGCCCCATTCTGTTTCCTTCCCTTTGCCTCTGCCTGCTTTTTCTTTCTCTTTTCTTGGTTTCCCTGTCCCTTACCCTGTGTTACTAATTTACTCTCTGCATCCTGCTCTCATCTCTTACCATTTTAGGGCCTTTGCTTTGGAGGAAGGTGTAAAACTAGAGACAGACAGTGCAAGTATATCTGGGGTGACAGTAAGTATATGGAATATTATTACTAGTCATTAAATGGTTATATTAATCTTGACAACATAACAGTAATAATGAAATATCTAGAAATTTTCCAGATAAAATGCATTTTTTGAGAACGACTACTATTGTTATTATAGATTTAGTTTAAAGGGTAACTCCACTTTTGTGAGAAAAAAAAAATTATCAAATGAAAAAATAATATAGCTTATACCTTTGCAACTCAAACCATATTTATTTATTTATTTCAGCGCCGTCAATTTACACAGCGCTTTTACATATATATTGTACATTCACATCAGTCCCTAACCCTCAAGGGGCGTACAATCTAAGGTCCCTAACTCACATTCATACATACACATACTAGGGCCAATTTAGACAGGAACCAATTAACTTACCAGCATGTCTTTGGAGTGTCGGTGGAAACCGGAGTACCCGGAGGAAACCCACACAGGCACATGGAGAACATGCAAACTCCAGGCAGGTGGTGCCGTGGTTGGGATTCAAACCGGCGACCCTAGTGCTGCCAGGCGGAAGTGCTAACCACTTAGCCACTGTGCTGCCCATATTGTAAATGAATGTTATTAAAAATTACCTTTCCTTTTCAATCTGCAGCCACTGTAATCTTCTGTAAAATGCAATGCAATATGGCTACCTGGAGGTGTTCTGTACACAAATGCTGTACAGTGTACAGACTCCACCCCCCAAAAAAAAGACAAAATTTCCTACTTTAGTGATTGGCTGACTGATTTTCCCAGAAGTCTGCACTAAGATAAAAGTCAGATTTTGGGCATCCGTTGCAGCAATAATATAATATTTGGTAAGATATTCCCAAAGAGAAATCACGTCTAAAGGGATGCAGCTCCTGCCAATTTCCTCATTAGAGCCCTGCAGGTGCAGCAGCTCATAATTATAAAACCGCTCCCATACAGATTTACTCACGGACACAGACAAACCAACAGCTATTTCTATAGAATAACAAAAGGTAGGACCTGTAACAAAGTTTGTTAAAATCCCTGCAATGTATATACAGTAGATCACCCAGAGAGGAATGTTTTTTCTTCTCAACAAAAGTGGAGTTACTCCTTAAGGAGCATCTTTATTTTCCTTAATTTATACCGTTGTCCTCTGTACAAAAAAAAAGTTGAAAAATACCTTTAAATATACTTTGCAAGTTTCCCTTACTTATCACTTAGTTTTTTTGTCTTTATCTTCTTTGTATTAAAATATTTTTGACTGCTGATAAAGATAAAAGATGAATACTGTTTTGTTCCCATAGGTATCAGCACTATTGTTTGCACCAGTTTTTAAAAACTGTTCTTTTATCAGTTACTGTACATCACTTTACTGTATCCAGAAGCTGTTATCAGCCATTTAAATTTACTATGTCTTCCAGAAGTGACAGCTGCAGACAGATATTGCTATGAGAAGCTGAACATTGAAGGAACTGAAAAAGGCAATTGTGGGAAGAATAAAGACACCTACATACAGTGCAGCAAACAGTAAGAAGTGTTTCTTGTGATTTTGCTCAATTTTACTGAATCCCATGTAACAGTGTGCTTATGCCTACAGTGAGTCTATACTCTAACAGTTAACTTCAATTGTAACTCCAGCTATGATTTTTGTTTAGTTTTAGATACAGTATGAGTTAGATCCTCCATCAGGTTTTTATTGCTGTCTGTTGGGGAGATTCTGTCTCCTTTCCTGTTTCCCTGACTGCTCAAAAAGTGAGGGGAAATCACACAGAAACACAGAGTGCTAAAAATATTATTTTAAAAACGTAAATAGGAAAATTTTGGTCTGTTACATTTTAAAGGTGAACTCATTGCACAAAAACCTACATTGAAATACTGTATATTCATCAACAGACCTAAAGAATATAAATCCACTTTATGTACACCAATTGACTTTGCAAACCCCATTATTAACTTGTAAATCAGCAGTGACAGCATCACTGTGCTGTACATAGTATGTTCAGAGAGTGGAGGTGTGGGAGGGACCCAACAAGCCTATCAACTACTGGCTCCCTGCGGAAAAACTGAAGGAGGGGGCGGAGACAAGACCAGTCACCTTGAATAAGGAAAGAGAGTAGTCTTTATTACAGGATATTTTTGTACAGAGGTAAAGTACAGGAGTTTTCATGCTGAGTTATAGTTGCAAAGATCTGGAATAAATACGCAAAGGGCACCAAGGTTTAGGTTGGAATGCACATGGCTCTTGTATTTAGATAAGGAGCTTTAAGGAGGACCATTGTGCCAAGTTTAACTTAACCAAAACATTTTTAAGTATTGGATAGCGTAGGAAATGATAAAACCCCTCTCAGGATTTTATTGCTCTGTATTTCCACTGAGGAAATTGACGCTCTTTGTATGTACTGGTGATCACTATTACCAAGACAAAAAGTGACAGAAAAAAAAACATCCAGAATTTGTACAGTTGTCACTAACACAGGTGGTAAGGAGAAATCTTGCAATTGGGACAGCTAGCCCCAAAAGAAAAAAAAAACTGAGGGATTTTTATCACCCCCTACTCCAGGGTAGGCAATCTCGGCACTCCAGCTATGATGAAACTTCAAATAACAGTTCTGGTTGTCCAGTCCTCAGGAAGGATGTGCTGGAAAGAGTACAGAGAAGGGCAACAAGTTAATAGGGGCCATAAGGAATAAACTATTCTGTCCCAGAGAGTATAAGAAGACACGGGGCTACTCAATAGAATTGAAGGAGAAGTGGTTTCGCCTCAAACTGCGTAGAGGGTGTCATGATGGCAGCGTCAGACCCCAGACCTTCTCACCAAAACTCGTGACCGAAGGGCTAGCCGACCTAAAACCACGATGTGACGTGCGTAACAATGCCATACCCAGCTGCACCCTGCACAACGATTTTCCAGCTAATGGATACCGATCAATGTGCCAGCAGCCTGAATCGATTGTTACTGGGTCAGGTTAATTACGCAATTAACCCCTTCACACTGCCACCACCTCCTTTTTAATCAGAGAAAGAGGAAACTCGGCGTTCCGCTATAACACTATAATGGTTGATATAATCGACTGCATAACCCGGTCATAATACAGGCCTGTTATACAGAGGGTTAACACAAACAGTAGCGTCTCTTTAAAGGCAGGGATTCGTAAATTGCAATTAAGAGCTATAGAAACAGTTCAACACTTTCAGAAAGAAACATTTATTACTAAAAGGGTCAAACAGGTGCAATAAAAATATTTACAGAGAAGATATAACTAAGATATATATACAGCTGTGTTCAAAATAATAGCAGTGTGTTGAAAAAAAAAATTGAATAAAGCTCAAAATCCTTCTAATAGCTTTTATTTCCATACACACAAATGCATTGGGAACACGACACATTCTATTCCAAATCAAAACATGAAGAAAAATACATCAAATTTGTGTTGTTCCTCTAAAAAAAATTGAAGAAAAGTGAATATTAGACTGTTCAAAAAAATAGCAGTGTTTGTATTCTTCTTTACAAACTCAAACATTCACTATATAAACTGAAAAATGTTTGAAGATTTTGCTTTCCTTTGAATCACTTAATGAATATTTAGTTGTATAAGCACTGTTTCTGAGAACTGCTGTACATCTGTGTTGCATGGAGTCACCCAACTTCTGGCACCTGTGAACAGGTATTTCAGCCCAGGATGATTGGACTGCATTCCACAGTTCTTCTCTATTTCTTGGTTTTGCCTCAGAAACTGCATTTTTGATGTCACCCCACAGGTTTTCTATTGGATTAAGATCCGGGGATTGGGCTGGCCACTCCATAACGTTAATCTTGTTGGTCTGGAACCAAGATGTTGCACATTTACTGGTGTGTTTGGGGTCGTTGTTTTGTTGGAACACCCATTTCAAGGGCATTTCCTCTTCAGCATAAGGCAGCATGACCTCTTCAAGTATTCTGATGTATTCAAACTGATCCATGATCCCTGGTATGCGATAAATAGGCCCAACACCATAGTATGAGAAACATCCCCATATCATGATGCTTGCGCAACCATGCTTCACTGTCTTCACAGTGTACTGTGGCTTGAATTCAGTGTTTGGGGGTCGTCTGAAAAACTGTCTCTGGCCACTAGACCCAAAAAGAACAATCTTACTTTCATCAGTCCACAAAATGTTGCGCCATTTCTCTTTAGGCCAGTCAATGTGCTCTTTGGCAAATTGTAACCTCTTCAGCATGTCTTTTTTTCAACAGTGGGACTTTGCGGGGGCTTCTTGCAGATAGCTTGGCTTCACATAGGCGTCTTCTAATTGTAACAGTCCTCACAGGGAACTTTACACCTTCTTTGATCTTCCTGGAGCTGATTGTTGGTGGAGTCCTTGCCATTTTGGCTATTCTTCTATCCATTCGAATGGTAGTTTTTTCGCTTTCTTCCACGTCTTTCAGGTTTTGGTTGCCATTTTAAACCATTTGCGATCATTTTAGCTGAGCAGCCTATCATTTTCTGCACTTCTTTATATGTTTTCCCCTCTCCAATCAACTTTTTAATCAAGGTACGCTGTTCTTCTGAACAATGTCTGGACCCATTTTCCTCAGAATTTCAGAGAGAAATGCACTGTAACCAGCATGTACAACATTTGCTGCCTTCCTTCCTTAAATAAGGGCAATAATTGCCACCTGTTTTTCAAAGAATGAATGACCTCACTAATAGAACTCCACACTGCTATTATTTTGAACATGTATTATTTGCCATGTAGAAATATAATTTCTACCAAAAACAGTGATTGATCAGGTTAGTGATGTCTGACTGCTATTATTTTGAACACAACTGTGTATATATATATATATATATACACATGTATAGAAAACAACACAGCACAGCAAAGAGATAACAGGGAGAAGTTAAAGGGTTAAGTTACTTGCCATTAAGCCTTGGGATAGCAGATCCAAGTTTTAGAGTAGATGGGTGCTTTGATCTCCCTGTGTTACGATGGAAAAATGGGAGAATGCTTCAACTCGCTACTCTTAGGCTTGGCAACCTGCTTTAAAGTTTCCCAGCAGAGGGTGGTTCTGAAGTTAAAGACCAATCCCCTGTTTAGGGAGGGATCGTCAGGCGGAACCCTAGACTGGAGCCAACATCTTTCATAATTCATATTCTGGTCCATAACTTCCCATCTGCACAAGCGACAGTCCACCCACGGGTATATTATTATGCAGACAAGCCTGGTGATTATTTAGATATGAATTATGAAATTGTATGCTACACGGTTCGCGAGATCTATTTCTCTGACTTCCCGTGCACCCGAGATAAGGCGAGTGACAGATCAAACTGTTCGCCTGCGCATCGTCCATCCGATGAGATGTCCAGTTTTTATGTAGGTCTCTCATATTCCAAGATATGAGACATAGGGGAAAAATGGATTTGAGAAGTGGTCATCTCATTCTCTCACCTACGCTGAGCTAGGTTTATTAGCTCAGAATCCCTTTCAAATCATGGGGAAGGCTCCACTATCTTTTCACGAAGCGTGAAATTACAGAGGTACTTTGGCCAGTGAGACTCCAGCTCTCTTGGGTAAAGCTGGTCCTATCTCTTCCTAGGTGAGAAAGGATACAGCTTTCACAGACAGCTCGGCACCTAGCTAGAGATCCCTTGGCCGGTCAGTGACCCATAACCAGTACACACACACATCTGTCACTGTGCCTCTCAGGAAGGGATGGGTAAGGAGAATGAGGGAATAACATGGCTACTCTTAACAAAATGGCAGACTGCGTCAGTCTCTGGGGCGCGCGTTTGCGACAGAGGGTTTTTCACTGCTAGGGTGGTAAGGATGTGGAACTCACTTCCAAAATCAGTGGTGTTAGTGGGAAGTATTGATAATTTCAAAAAAACGTTTAGATGGGTATCTTAGTGAATACAATATACACTCAGAATCTGTGTTTTTGACAACTGAGTACACACACACATCCAGACAGGTTGAACGGAATGGACTATTGTCTTTATTCAAACTTACCATATAACTGTGTAACATCATACCTCCATCTCTGGGAGTCAGGCCCTGTGGCTGTCAGTCTTGAATGCCTCATTGGACTTGTAATTCCACAACAGCTGCAGTGCTCAGGTTGCCTACCCTTGCCCTACGCTATCCAATACTAGAATAGATTTCTAGTAAAATCTCTGTAAAAATCTCTGTAAAATCCCTGTAAAATCCTTTAAGTGATGTGGCACCTGTGAACTACTGTGGCAAAAGCTGAAATGCCACTACTCTTGTAAGTAAGAAGTTTAATTACTGTTGTTAGTCTATTACACATACCCGCCTAATAATGCAGACTACTCTTACTCTACCTTTGTATTTCATAGCTACATACACAGAGGCAGCCTGGAAATTACACTGACTTGTGAGCAAGTGCAAGCAATCAGTCTTCATTATGCAAGTGTCTGTTTATGAACTTTGCAAAAAGTTATATGATTTTACAATTTTCTACATTATGGAGGTTGGGTTTATAATAAAGAGAATACTATAATCTCTCTAAAATGTCTTTACAGGGATGTCCTGTGTGGTTATCTGTTGTGTACTGACACTTCAAGTGTGCCAAGGCTGGGTGAGCTGGAATCTCTAACATCAGCCTCTCTCTCGCATCAAGGAAAGCTTTTAAACTGCAGGTGAATGATCGATATAGTTTGGTATCACCCCTCACTCTAAGCTGGCCATACACAGAGCGAATTTCAGCCAATTCCTGATGAGCCAACTGAAATTCATGCCATGGGTGGCCCTGTTGGCATCCTTTCACCCAACAACCTTTGATCGAAGGAGCTGGGCAGACAATTGTTGGCCAAAAAGTAGCTGCATCCAATCATATGCAGTCACTGTTTGGGTGTTCTGCCAGCCATGGGTGATGAGTGTCAGAATACAGAAGCCGGCAGGAAAAAAATCAACCATCCATGCTGTATAGTGTGGATGGGGAAATTGTACAGTGCATGGCCAGCTTTATTCTGTTTTTAAAGCACTTGTCTACAGATAAAGTGCACCAATCTTTTTATCAAATTACTTTGCTGAAAAGGTTAAAGCATTTAATAAAAGTCTCTTACAAATGCAAAATGTAGAGATCGCTTCTCTGTGGCCCAGAAACTCCTCCATGCAAAGTCCAGGAGCCTCTGGTTGTGGCCAGTGGCAGGGGTTAGCACCAGTCTAGGAACCTTCTTCTGTGTTGAGAAACTAACTGCCACTGTCCACTGCCACAGGTTCCTGGACTTCACACAGGGGAGCTTCTGGGTGACAGATAAGCGAACTCTGTGTTTTGCTTTTGTGAGAGTATATGTGGTGGGGGGGCCTAGGTCTAGCCAATAAGGCGAACCCTTCCAGAAATGCTGGTTTTACTAACTTTGGGGTAATTTCTCTAAGTTATGTGAGTTATTTCAACAGTGATCATTATTTACCTAAGGATAATTTTCTCTTTTACACACAAAATACACAAAAATATAGTATGCATGGAGTAAATTCAACTAATCTGTATGTTAAACTTTGAGGGAATTGATAACAAAATTAGAAACAATAAGAGTACAGGACTGGAAATATGCACCTCTGGTTATGTTGTTTTTAGGTAAGAATGTGCAGACATACAGATCCTGAATGTGGCTTTTTTTTCCTCTTTTAATTGAGTGTGGTGGACAGTTAGATATTGTATAACTTGTATATAGTTATTGTAATATGATTGTTTTTCTCTGTAGATGGATCTGAATTTACTATTATGGTTTTTGTCTGAATGTGTGCCTTCATTACTGAAAAAGCACATAAACTGTGAAAATGCGTCAGCTGAATGTGACGCTTTCACTTTCATTTTTGTGTTGCTGTATTTTAGAGAAGATCCTTTTTATTCTTGTAATTATATTGGTTTTGTGTTCGATAAAAGCACATATTCTAGCTGACAAAATTTTTTTTTTCTGGTCAGTTAATAATTCCTGATGTGCATATTTGAAGTCTCATTATTTACTTTTATTGTTTCTTATTTAATGTGATTGGGATGATGTCCTCATGGAAATATTTTGATATGCTGTAATATATGACTCCATATGTTTTTTGTTACTTTGGAATTGAAAACAACATTTTTTATTATTATATATATGCCCTTTTTGGGGCCACTGTACTCAGCCCAGTATTGGCAAGTAACGTGATTGTTTTAAACTTAAAACAAATCTGTCTCTAAACCAAAAAAACAATGCCCTTTGAGGGCAAAGTAACACATACTCCTAATAGTACACGCTAACCCCCCCACACCACTACCACCTAATGTTATATACCTTCACCGTGCTGCCCCACGGCTGTGTTCATCTGTTGGAGCCCTCTTACATAACCGGTACTTTCTCCCGAACCCTGTTACTTAGGGAGAGGACATTGTTATGAATCTTTTTGCAAGCTCTGACACTGGCCAACATGGAGTTTACTTGGGATTTAAGCCCTGTACACACGATGAGAATATCGGACAAATTATCGTTCATTTTTTTTTTTGCATGCTAGCCTAATATCGAAAATGAAGAGGTTACTAAAGTTATGAAAATTCGACAGAATAAACATTTAAAAGTGATGTATTCTATTGCATTGTATTTGTAGTGTATTTTCAGATGAAAATTGTACTGATGAAACTAAAATCGTACGATCTGGTATCGTATGAGAAAAATGTTCGTGCTTGTCCCTTAGAATAATTTCAGATGAAAGCAGTGTACTTACGATCAGATTACCATACGATTGCTTCGAAAGCGGTATTTTTTTGTATGATTTTCTGATGGTGTGTACTAGGCTTTTGTCTCAGGGCTCCAGGAGGCAAACAAGGCAGTGGTGGGGTGTCACAGAGAAAGTTGGTATCAGTTGATAGGGGAAGAGGGCTAGCAGAAGAACCTGTTGATTTGCTGTGTTTGGACGAAGTGTTGAATTCACTTTAGGAAGCCTTAACATAATTAAACAAGAACAGTAATAAAGGCCACTTACTAATGGTAAATACTGGTTTATTGTGCATTACCTTTTCAGCGGTGGCTATGTGAAACTGGATGAGGAAAGTGATCTGGGATACGTGGAAGATGGCACTCCATGTGGAGAAGGAATGATGTGTCTGGATCACAGATGTCTTCCTATTGATCCTTTCAATTTCAGCTCATGCATGGGCAGCACAAACAAGATTTGTTCTGGAAATGGGTAAGTGGATACGTCAAAGTAAGTCATCAGTTAGCTGTACAAAGCCCAGTCCTTACAAGGGGTGATTCTAAACTCTTTAGTCTGGAAGAAAATGTGTAGAGATAAAGTGTAGAGATGAATAACAGAGCAATGATGGGCCTTTCATGGTCTGTTTGTTGTTTTGTGTGTTTAAAGTGCAGTGATAGGTGTTGTTAATGTGTACCACTAACCAAAACCGGAAGAGAAAGTGATGGGAAACCCAAAATGTTACATTTGTCCGTTCAATAGGAACACAGGAAATATCTACTAACAGCTCTGACTTTGAAAAATATTGCTTCCTATTGTGTCTGTATAGCAGGAAGTGAAGGGAAAGCTCCCAAAGGAGACAGCAAAACAGAAAACTATTTGGGTTTTAACCATTAGGTACTTCATCCAAAAAAAGGAAAGGTTTCGACTAGACCAGGGGTCTGCAACTTTTAAGACATAAAGAGCCACTTGGACCCGTTTCCGAAGGGAAAAAAAAGACTGGGAGCCGCAAAACCATTGCAACATTTAAAACAAATCCGACACTGCATATATTGTTTCTTACCTTAATGCTATATACAGGATCGGGCAGTTAGCTTCATCCCCCATATAGTAATTCATCCCCCATATAGTAATTCATCCCCCATAGTAATTCATCCCCCCATATAGTAATTCATCCCCCATATAGTAATTCATCCCCCATAGTAATTCATAGTAATTCATCCCCCATAGTAATTCATCCCCCATATAGTAATTCATCCCCCATATAGTAATTCATCCCCCATATAGTAATTCATCCCCCATATAGTAATTCATCCCCCATAGTAATTCATCCCCCATATAGTAATTCATCCCCCCCATATAGTAATTCATCCCCCCATATAGTAATTCATCCCCCCTATAGTAATTCATCCCCCATATAGTAATTCATCCCCCCTATAGTAATTCATCCCCCATATAGTAATTCATCCCCTCTATAGTAATTCATCCCCCCTATAGTAATTCATCCCCCCTATAGTAATTCATCCCCCCCCTATATAGTAATTCATCCCCCTATAGTAATTCATCCCCTCATATAGTAATTCATCCCCCTATAGTAATTCATCCCCCCTATAGTAATTCATCCCCCCCATATAGTAATTCATCCCCCCATATAGTAATTCATCCCCCATATAGTAATTCATCCCCCCTATAGTAATTCATCCCCCCTATAGTAATTCCCCCATAGTAATTCCCCCATATAGTAATTCATCCCCCCTATAGTAATTCATCCCCCCTATAGTAATTCATCCCCCCTATAGTAATTCATCCCCCATAGTAATTCATCCCCCATATAGTAATTCATCCCTCATATAGTAATTCATCCCCCCTATAGTAATTCATCCCTCATATAGTAATTCCCCCCTATAGTAATTCATCCCCCCTATAGTAATTCATCCCCCCTATAGTAATTCATCCCCCATATAGTAATTCATCCCCCCTATAGTAATTCATCCCCTCTATAGTAATTCATCCCCCCTATAGTAATTCATCCCCCATAGTAATTCATCCCCCATATAGTAATTCATCCCCCCTATAGTAATTCATCCCCCATATAGTAATTCATCCCCCCATATAGTAATTCATCCCCCCTATAGTAATTCATCCCCCATAGTATATTCATCCCCCATTCATCCCCCATAGTAATTCCCTCATCCCCCATATAGTAATTCATCCCCCATATAGTAATTCATCCCCCATAGTAATTCATATATAGTAATTCATCCCCCATATAGTAATTCATCCCCCATAGTAATTCATCCCCCCCATATAGTAATTCATCCCCCATATAGTAATACATCCCCCCTATAGTAATTCATCCCCCATATAGTAATTCATCCCCCATATAGTAATACATCCCCCATATAGTAATTCATCCCTCATATAGTAATTCATCCCCCATATAGTAATTCATCCCCCCTATAGTAATTCATCCCCCCTATAGTAAATTCATCCCCATATAGTAAATCATCCCCCCTATAGTAATTCATTCCCCATATTGTCTCAATTCACTTACCTTTGCTCCGCGCGTTCCTCTCGCTGTGTTCCCGCGCTGTGTCCCGGTCTTCAGGGCGGACTGTGAGAGGAGAGGAGTTCGTCACGCTGCCCCGCCTACATCCTGGCTGCCCCGCCTACATCCTGACAGCCAATGTTCCACACTCTGCGGGCCGGATTAAAAGAGTCCTGACTTTTGAGGCGGCCGCCCGAGAGGAGGGAGGGGAGCGGGCGCCCGGCACACAGAAGAGCCGCATGTGGCTTGCGATCCGCGGCTTGCCGACCACTGAAACCCTATTGCCTGTCACCTGGTGGGCAGTGTGCTCCGGAGCCGCAGCAAAGATGAAAAAGAGCCGCATGCGGCTCTGGAGCCGCGGGTTGCCGACACCCGGACTAGACATACGCTATATTTATGACAATATAATATGATATAATATATATAGACCTGACTGCATTGTGGCCTGAGGAAGTAATTGTAGTTACCTCCCAGGGCGTAAAGTTTTAGCTGAATTTTCACATTATTCGAATTGTCAAACGTTGATATTAAAAACACTTCTGTTGTAATTTGCAGATCTGTAGCAATGAAGTGAAGTGTATCTGCGACAAGTACTATATCGGGGAGGACTGCAGCACATTTTTCCCATATAAAAGCACTTCCAAGCCTGATGTAATTGATGATGGTTAGTATGTCTGTTCTAATGCCCTACTGCAGGGTACATTTATGTTTCCTAGTCTACCCTTGTACGCATTTAAAGCAGAGTTCCAGCAATTTTTGATGTTGTGCCCTCCGAGTTGCTGATCGCAGTGCCAGTAATGTTGGGGCTTTTTTTTTTCATTTCAAAGCATATTACCTTTTTTGTCTATTAAACTGGTCCACTTCCGCTGTACCTCACTGCTGCAAGGTAGGTCATATCCAGCGGCCCGTTGGCTCCTGGGATTGATGACTCTTATCACATGTTAAGTCAATGGAAGCCTCCGATTCTAGCATTGTGTTATTTTGGAACCTGAAATGACATGATGCCAGGTGGAAATAAGTGGAGATGACTGCACTACGCTTTGCACACACTGCGCATGCATAGGATCAGGAGCTGCATGCTGAGTAGCCAGCAGCACCATATCCCAGAAGGAGTTACGAGCAGACTTCAGATGCCCACACGATGGTAGTGTTACTACATTTAATATATATGTCGGAATGTATTATATAAGCTGCGACCACGTGGGGGTGTTTTGTAGGGAAAAAAAAAGACTGGAACTCCGCTTTAATTTCATGTCAACCGGTTTCATTATTTCTTTGTTTTCCTTTTGTAATTGTTACCCTCTAATTTTGTTTATTGATAATATACTATACTATAGTTTACTGAATATTTTAAAACCTTAGCCTGAAAAGGGAAATATTCTGTGTAAAGGATGCGGTCATCAATCCAGTAGTAGTCCTATACTGGATAATAACACCATATGTCCTTTCAACCTTTGGTTCCCGTAAAGTGAACCTGTGGTTTGTTTATGCCCATGCACTTCCTGTAAGTTTCCCCGCTACTTTGTTCAGCTGCCCGGTGTATACCTGAAATGCTCAGTTCTTCCAGGTGGGTATGAGACACATGTGACTCTTTCCCTTACCTCCAAAGGTGCAATACTGAGGGGGTGATCTACTAAAACCAAAAAGATCAGAATCTGCTGTAGGTGTACATGGTAGCCAATCGGCTTATAACTTCAGCTTGTTCAATTCAAGTTTCAAGCTTTGACAATAAAACCTGAAAGCTGATTGGTTTCTATGCAGAGCTGCACCAGATTTTGCACTCTCCAGTTTTAGTAAATCAACCCCAGATGGTTTGAGCAGCCAATCAGCAGGCCACAGTGATTTCAAGTGGGTCGAGGAGAGATTCTTTTGTTGTGTCTGTGCTTTGACCAAAATAACCAGGCAAGCAAATTTGTTGGGGTGCAAGCGGAAAGGTGAGTGAAACTAGCTGGAAAGTTGGAATTTAGGTGAATTATTGCCTTTTTCCTTTTAGAGGAGGGGGTCAACTGTTGCAGATAAAATAGGTGTGCTCCATATATAGATGGACCTATTCATTCTATAATACCTAAAAAGTGTGTTTAATGTAAATGAAAATATTGTAAATGAAAGGCAACGTACTGTATGTGGTCTGCCTTTAATTTTATTTCTGCTTGCTGTCATAGCACACTGTGCAGAGTTTGTTGGTCAGTGTAGCAAAAACCCTACCTATGTGTATCCCTTATTGTTGACTTGTCTCTCTAAGGCACCTTTCACACTGACGGTTCGATCGGTCTGCCTGTTCGTTTTTCAGGCGGACCCGATCGGACCATCTATAGACCTCTATGGACTGGCAGGTGTCAGCAGACAAGTGTCCGCTGACACCCGCTGGCATCCGATCTGATCTTGTACACCAAAAACAGAGGGATGGGGATCCATCTATCTGGCAGATCAGATCGGAGCAGATGACAGTCGGGTCAAAACAGACAGGCAATCCTTTCCATCCGACCGCCCCATAGGAAAAAGCAGGCTGTGTCTGTGTCCGCTCTGCAGCAGTCCTGTCATCCACTTGCTCAGCTGGGATAAGTGGAGAGATTCTCCGCTGAGCAAACAGACTTGTTGGCGGGTCCGCACCATCTGAAAGGGGCCTAACACAGGTGAGGTTGGACAGTTCTGGCAGTTCTGTGCTGAGAAAATTCCCAGACTGGAAACGAGCACTTTTTTTCACCCAACAGGAAATTGGTTTCAGAGAAGCATGGAAACTAACCAAAAAAAATTAAGCTCATTTATAGCCAAAACACTTTTTGTTTCAGATAGAGTTGGGTACTGTGAGAACCCCTGTCAAGTTTTTATTTTTGTGTCTGTGTCCCTTCTGAGTAGATCCACCTCCTCTGTTTGTCCTGAAGACTATTATCACTGAGATTGACAGTTATGGGAAATCTAAAACATTAACATTGTCTCCAGAAGGTAAATCTTTCAGTGACGACCAGTGACAATTGGGAATTTATATTACTTTGGAGTTATTTCTTTACCGTTTCACTTGCATCTTCAGGACAGAAAATAAAGGGAAATCTCTCCAAGAGGATACAGACAGCAAAAATAAACCAACAGGGCTTTTAACCCTTTACTACTTTACCATGAACTAAAAAGAAATCACTTTCTGTTTGGTTTTAAGAGTATTTTTTCATCGTAAACTCAACTGAAGAATCTTTACAAAGAAAACAATGAATTGCAATCAATTCCTAAGTGAACTGTCTTTAGTCTGTTGAGATGCAAAATAATTATGCTAAAAATGCTAAAAAAAAAAGTAACTGTTTGTTGCTAGCATTGTTGGAACAGCTGGTCAGTGACAGTTTAATGTGGTAAGACCCCTACTGAGCAGCAATATGGTGGTGGGGGGTGATAGACAGTTTTACCTGCCCCAAAGTGTGAAAACATCTTTTAATCCTCTTGTACTGTATTGTTTTATTAACTAACCCTGTATGCATGTAAGATAACACTGATAATCACTAACTGACTTGTATGCTTCTTTCAGGTGTGGTTAGCACAAACATTATCATAGGAGCAATTGCTGGTACCATGCTAGTGTTGGTGTTGGTATTAGGAATTACAGCTTGGGGTTACAAGTAAGTGACAACACAGCATATATTCTGATTTAAACGCTTCCATTAGATCCATGTAGTCAATGGAGTTCATGTACACATGTGAAGACAAACAGCCCCATGAGCTTATAGGAGTACCTATGTGTAACGTATCAAGTGCTTAGTGCACTGCAACAGAATACTATATAAAGTTCATACATCAAAAAGTCAAATATTATGTGCACAATTCATATGCAAATATAAAAAAAATTATGCATATATTCCGGTTAAAGTGCCTAATGCTGTGCAAAAATCTCTCATGATAAGAATCAAATGTCCAAAATACATACATAAGTAAAGATGCAAATTTCATGCATCAACATAATATAACTTTCATATGAAAAAATCAAATAAAAAATAATAAGTATTTTTTACATAATAAACATGTCACATTTACCTGCTCTGTGCAGTGGTTTTGCACAGAGCAGCCCCAAACTTCCTCTTACCTTTTGAGTGCTCCCATTGCAAGCCACTTAATATAGGGGTCCACGTGCTGGCTTGATCCCGAGCTGGACTTTGTGCTTATTTATTATTTGTTTCAGGTACTTATATAGCGCTGTCAATTTACGCAGCGCTTTACATACATATATTGTACATTCACATCAGTCCCTAACCCTCAAGGGGCGTACAATCTAAGGTCCGTAACCTACATTCGTACATACACATACTAGGGCCAATTTAGACTGGAGCCAATTAACCTACCAGCATGTCTTTGGAGTGTGGGAAAAAACCTTAGTACCCGGAGGAAACCCACGCAGGCACAGGGAGAACATGTAAACTCCAGGCAGGTGGTGCCGTGGCTGGGATTCAAACCAATGACCCTAGTACTGCCAGGCAGAAGTGCTAACCATTTAGCCACTGTGCTGCCCATACTTTTGACACACACACAGTGCAGCTTGGCCCTGTCACCTGCTCCCTTTTCACAGGATTTATTTGACAGCAGCAGGAGCCAATGGCCCCTGCTGGTGCATCTGAGTCCTGTCAGGAGGGAGATCTTGTGCACATCGCCAGAACTTTACTGCGCACGTTAAGTGATAAGTTCTGTTTGTTTGCTTTGGTTTACTGCTCTTTGCATTTACCTTTTCACCTTTAAATGTTGTACTAAACTTTCAAAAACTTTTGCACTGAAGGGAAATTCAGGAAAAGAATGGATAAAATTGTATGGTACTATCACAATTATTTTATTTAAGTGAGAGTTTTTATTGTTAATCGGTTCCCTGATTTTTACATTAATATTTGAAGAGACAAAATTACACCCCCCAAGCAATTTCTAAAAGTAACATTTATTTATTGATCCTATACTAAGGTGGTTCTTCACCCTAGAAACACAAAAGTAAAAGTCAGCCGATACATATACTGTAGCAGCTGACTTTTAATAATTGGGCACTTAACTGTCCAAGGATCCAGTGCTCTTCAGCCCTTTTTGGGTCCAGATGTTGGCATGTTTACTGTGACTGCTTGCGATTTCACATCCGGCTTTGTGAATGGTCCTGCAGCTTTCTAAGACCTGTGAAGTCTCCAAGAAGGGTGTGGGAGAAGGAGAGGGGGGGGGCAAAATTAAGCTTGGATAGCTGTTGATTCAACCAGAAATGGGAGCAGGTACCTGTCAAATCAGTTTCCTGCTCACTCCCCCCCCCCCCAAAATAAAATGAAGTTCCAAAATATTTTGAATAAAGTTCCACTTTAACATCCAGTTCCTCACCTATGTCAATTTTAAATAACAATTTATCCCAAGTTAATTGCAATGAGATTAACGAAAATATTACCTGCACTAATGTATTCTAAAAAATAGGCTTCATGGGCTTAAAAGAAGCCAGTGCAATTACTGTGAAAATAATACATTCAAACAATTATTTCTTTTAGAAGAACAGAATGGCTTTTATCACCAAATTATCCTAAAAATATATCTTGTTAATTCAAAAGGGGTGATTTAATAAATGAGTAGAAAATGTTCACTTTGCAGCGTTAATAAGCTGCAGCTTACACTGAAATTTCAGGCAACTTTAGATAGATTTTTGAAATAACAAATATGCACATCTATCGGAGACATTCCACATTCAGTTTAAAACTCTAAAACAATATTTTTCAATATCTGCATATAAATCTTTAAAGGGATATTTGCACTTTGTGGTTTTTTATGGTGATTTTTATTTTAGCGGTCTAAAATATGATTATTTGATTGGAATTTTCTCCCTTTTCTTTATAAGAATTGTATTGGGGTGCACATGCATAGACTTTAATGTCTAAGATTTTTCAGCCTGTCCTCTTGTTCTGACTTTGAGGGTCATCAGTAACTTTTTGCTGTTCTACCTTCATCACAGCAAAAAACAAAGGTTACCACATGGGCTACTGCATCCCAGTGCAGGTCCAGAGACAAACAAATCAAAATTACCATGTTGTAATGAAACTAGATTCATTTATGCTATTGACTAAAAGTTTCTGGACACTTAACCGTCTCACCCACACTATATGGCCAAAAGTATGTGAAGTTCATGTGTTTTGTCTTGGAAATTCGCTTTCAACGAATTTCTCCTTACCATGAGTGTCCGCAGTTGGATGCGCAGCAATCCCCCATAAAGCTGTGCGAACTTCGCTTACCGTGACTGCAGCTAAACTCCACGATTCCTGCGCCTCCAACTGGTTTAGCTCTGTTGATATGTGGGGAAAATAGAGCTCCTGTTACCCAGGAATGATCACACGACACTCTCAGGTTGCAGTTGGAATTCACTCTTAGACTGGCTCCAACCCCAGCCTCCTGTTTTATTACAAGCACACACACGCCCCCCCAGGTCAATCCCCTCCCACAGAATAATGTATAGGGAGTGTCTCTACACAGAATGTACATCCTGTTTGGAGTGTAGCATTCCCTCTTATCTATACTGGAAACCAGTACACCAGTCCTCCCCTCCTCCATAAGCTCTCTCTGGAGAGCAAGCTCCCCATCCTTTATATGCTATCATCTCCTATTAGTATGTCCATTCACTGTACAAGCATCCCTTAGATTAAACAGTGTCAGTCTGTATCTGAATGGGCCCGATACGATCTTTATTAAAACACATCCATCCAGATACAGTTCAGGTCAGTAGTGGTTTGTAAGATATACATGAGCCTACACGCGGAGTTCGCACTGCCCGGCACCTGGCTATACGAAGTCCATGTGGTACTATGCTGCTGATATGTGGATACAGGCCCGCGGCCTACCGCCGGCAGCATTCGCATCAAATGCCGTGGTGGTATACACGCTGGTCTATAAGAGCAGATCTGCCATCTCATCCATTACCGAGCTGAGTACTGTAATATATACATTGTAAATGCGCATGGCCTAATTGCAGTCTTCAGAGCTTTAATTAAACCACACAAGAGACATATGAATAACACTAATATATGACACATTTAAAGTTCAACCTGTAATACAAAATTTCCATGACAGTTTATTGTTAAAAGTACTGTTAATGGTATAACACCCAAATACATTTTGGAGAAGCATGCACTTTTCATTTTGTTTTCATGACTATGCCCCTGTGCACAAAGTCTCCATAAAGACATAGTTTTACAAGATTGGTGTAGGAGAACTCAAGTGGCTTTCAGAGAGCCCTAACTCAGCCCTACTGAAAACATTTGGGATGATTTAGAATGGCATTTGCAAGCCAGGTCTTCTCACCCAACATCATTATCTAACCACACATTCTTTTTGCTAAATGGGCACACATTCCAACGGAAACACTTCAGAGTCTTGGGGGAAAGCCTTGACAGTGTGGTATAAATGTTCATGGTTTTGGAATGTGATTTCAAACAAGCTCATATAGGTGCGATGGTCAAGTGTCCTGAAATGTTTGGCCATATAGAGTACATTATTTTTTTCTTTCAATTTTTTGTATAATTTCATTCTACTAATATTCCCAATAAATGATACTCATCAAAAAAATTCACAATAAATGATAAAAAAACAAGAAATTATATTTCACTAATTCTTTGTTCTCTTCTTTAACATGAAAAGAAACTATCGGAGAGAAAGGTAAGTAGGTTATCTTTTCATTTAGCTGCATTTCATCACTTTCATGTGTAGCTACCTGTCTTTCACAGTTTACATTTGTATGTTCCATGCTGTTTTCACTGCTGGGTAGTCCTGACGTCAGCTCTGCTTTTGAGAAAATAAAAACATGATAAAAATCTGCAGTCTAATAATACATTTATTTGATATTTCAAGTCATTTCAATTTATATTATGCTGTGTTGTACAGAATAAGCAAAGACAGATATGCAGTAGAAATATTAAATTGTAGGGTTCTATTTTACAATACCTATTCGGGCTTTATGTCGCCCAAGCAGCATGCCATCCTCACACTTATATCCTTGTCAGATAACAATACAAGGCCACATTTTCCATCATGTCATCATGTTCAGGTTCATTGTTGGTGGTTTGGACTCACAATAACAACTGAGCAGGATTAAAATGCAGTCTAATTTTATTTGTTTCAGTGTTTGTCTACAGAATTTAAAATATATTGTCATAGAAAATGTTAGAAGTTGTCTCTGTGCTTTGTGTCCTAACATGAGTAAAAAAATGAAAGATAAACATAACTATAGTATAATTTTACTTTGGTCAAACTGAAGGAAAATTGTCAACAATGTACAAATGTTATGCATTTTATGTATTTCCATTTATTTACTATTCATAAGGCTCCATGCACATTAGCGTTTTTTTAAGCTTCTAGAAGCTATGATCAGCGTATTTTTTTCGACTCCTAGAAGCTAAATAGTGTTATCCTATGTGTCCATGCACACTACTTTAGGCTATTATCATTTTATGAGCTTCAGCATCTAGGAGCAGAAAAAAAATTGTTTTGTAGAGTTTTTTGCTGCTTTTTTCCAGCAGAAAAAAACGCTGCTAAATGCTGCTAAACACTACTAAAACGCTCCTAACAGCTTTTTTTCTAGTGTTTTTCTTCCTCTACATGTACTGTAAAAACGCTAATAAAAAGCAAACGCTCCTAATAGAATGCTACTAAAAATGCTATTATCAGCATTTTTTATCTAGCATCTTTCCCAGCTCTTTTTAGCTTAAAAAGAACGCTAGTATGAATGGAGCATGTTACTATTTAGTATGTTACTATAATAGAAAATATACAGTACATGCTATACTGGATTTGCATGTTTTTGTTATTGTAACATCTATCTTGTAATGTGCATTCCATTTTTGACATGGTTTTGTATGCTTGCTCTACCATATTTCCATTACTGCTTTACATATGCACACTGGTACATTCAGGTTTAATGTCAAGCTGTCATTATAACAGTATATAGAGCTGTAGTTCTGTAACAAACATCCTAACTTTTAATTGCTCTGATTCAAAAGTAAAAAAAGTCACCTTTAAAAAGCTGTTTTTACACATATAGTTCTTCAGCTATTACATAACCTTAATTAACAGTTAAAAATGTGGACAAGTCATGCGTGTCCTGGATTGTTATTGGAAGACCATTGTTCCTTGTGGATAGTAGAGGTGGTTATACGTGGCTTGAAAAAAAGCAAAATTGTGACTGTTTCAAGCATCCTTTTAAACACGTAGGCCAAGTCACAGGGTAGAACACTCAACTCTTCTAAAAGATATAAATGAAACTGACCATAGAAATGCAATGACAACTAGCCAAGCTGCTGTTTTTGATCTCTTGTCTATATGGGGGGGAAGGTATCCAACCTACTAGCCAAACACGTTGGAAAACATCAATCAGACAGGCAAGAAAACATCAGCATAAGAGGGACCTAGTGCACTCCATACAGTGCACAAGCCCTTACAAATGGGGTGTTGTAATGACTACCCATTGAATGATGCCGTTGTCAACATATCCAAAAACCAGCAAGCACACCAAACTGCTCAATAAGATCTTTTATTTTTACAGAAAGACATGCATGCCTTTCTGTGAATAATTAAAGCTCTTCTTGAACAGTTTGGTGTGCTTGCTGATTTTTGGATATGTTGACAACGGCATCATTCAATGGGTAGTCATTACAACACCCCATTTTTAAGGACTTGCATTGTATGGAGTGCACTAGGTCCCTCTTATGCTGATGTTTTCTTGCCTGCCTGACTGATGTTTTCCAACGTGTTTGGCCTCCCATTGAAAAAAAAATATGTGCTGCAGCACTTATAAGTGTATCTACACTTACAGTTTTCTCTTAGTCCCCCTGCAAAGTCCCACAAACACCTGTTGATCCTGCCAGTGAATTTCACTGAATTCAGCTTCCTGTGATGGTGTGGGAATGATGCTACATGGCTCCTAAATTCAAAGCAGAGTTACCACTCTTGTGTAGGCTGAGTCCTCTTCTACAGTGGAATGAGCATATGTTGCAAGGCGTGTGGCTAAAGGCTTTGCATTGCTGCTTGTGAATCAGCACCTGGCCACACCTAGTCCTTCCCACTGCTCTCTGGATTGACATTACTGTCTTTGTTGCTGAAACCCCCCACTGTGAGCTTCAGTGTCTTGGAGGGCTAGCATGAGACACATATAAAAGAGGATTTGGCTCAGTCAGGAATGGCAAAGGAAGTATCCTAATCATATAGTACAGAACACAGGGCTGGTATTCATAGTCCATGAGTTATATGCTGCTAACTGCAGGTGACTAGACACTAGCAATAGCTATTATACTCTGCCCACTTCATGAGGCTCCAGTTTTTGTTTTTTTTCGCACGTGCCCTTAGATCACAGGTGTCAAACACAAGGCCCATGGGCTGAATCCAGCCCTCCAGGCCATTTCATGTCGCCCTGGCACCTCTCCTGCAGGTACCCCCTTGTCTCCGCCCCCATCTTGTCGCAGCAGAGAGGAGAATAGAACTCCTCTACCAAATCCTGTACCTCTCAGTGCAGCTGCAGCTCCCCCTCACCTCTGCCTCCCCTGGTCTCAACATTCAGCAGGCTCTGGTAACTGACTCCACCCTTCCTCTGGTCCTACTCCAGACCGTGCACTTTCTGCTATCTAGCTCTGCCCCCAAAGGGGTGCACGGTGATGTTAGGGAGGGTGTGGGATTCTTGACATCTGATATAATGGGGGGTCGGGTGCTCTGAGCATCTAGTCTTACAGATACAACCGGCCCTTTGAGTGCAACTATAATGCTGATATGGCCAGCGATGAAATGGAGTTTGACAACCCTGCCTTAGATGATGGACTTGTTCTCTAAAGAAGTATTTTTTCTTTTTAAACTACTGAAGTGATTTCATCTGAATTATCTATGAACTTCTGACTGCTTATGCTACCTCACAGTTTCCACATCGGTTACTCTCAGTGTGTATCTCGGGGACCATACCTGGACCCTGCTGCTTTGGGCCAGCCTGTAATATTTTTGCTTCAATCACTGGATCCTGCATCAGGCGCTCGCCTTTGCAAAAAGTTCAATATGTAACATTAGCTGCAGAGTTCTATACATGTCCAGGGCCATGTTCCATTCCTGTAGTTCCCAGACCCTGGAGACCCCTTCAGGTGTATACCCACCATGATGGGAAGAAAGGGCCTAATAGCATGTATTCTGCAGACAGCATACGGCCTCACTTTTTGCCTTACATTCTGCCAGTTTCTGACCAAGGAAAGGCAGATTTGATAACTTCCTTGCATCATCTTCAGGTACAAGTAGTATTTGTACCAGTTCCTTCAGAGGAACCATTTTAAGGCTCTGCTAAAACATTTTCATAGCTCCAAAACATAATGGGGACATCTGCCCAATGCTGAACGTCAAATCTCTAAACAGATTTCTTTGTATACAAAAATGCTTGATGTAATCTGCAAGATTTGTCATTGCTTCACTCAGAAAAGGGGAATTTCTTGCATCAGTAGAGGTCTATCTCTATATGTTCCATTCTTCCATCACACCAATGCTTCTTGCATTTTGCTGTGGGGGACCAGTGCTTACAGGTTGTGACACTGCTACTCGGACTCTCTTCTGCACCCTTAGTGTTCACAAAAGTGCTTGCTCCACTTTTGGCTTTTCTGTGAACCCAGGGCATTCATATTCTTGACCTCCTACTTCCAAGACTCCTCAGCCAAGATCTTGTCTGCCAATGTCCAAAGGAATATCCATGTGCTCCAAAAATTTGGCTGGATGATCATCTTTCCAAAGTCTGCCCTCCTGCCCTCACATCATCTGAAGTACCTGGGTTTAATCTTGGACACAGCTCAAGCAAGAAACGTCTTTCCACAGAAGAAGATTGCCTCTGTAAAGTCCAGCTCTCATACCCTTAGCTCACTATATAACCCCTCAATTAATTTTTGCACGAGGGTTCTGGACCTCATAGTAGCCTCCTTCAAGACATTCTCTTTGCCCACTTTCACTCCTGACCCTTCATATCCAACATTCTCATGACGTGGAACAAACAGACCCAATCCTTGGATCACCTAATGCACCTGTCAAGTCAAGCAAAGATCTGACATGGTGGATCTCCAATCCTGCCTTTGAACTAGGAAAGCCGTTCCTTCACAGGACATGGAACATGGTAATGACAGATGTGAGTCTTACAGACTATAAGTCTAGTACAGTCAATATACCCATCAACATTCTGGATGCCCACTTGACAGACCTACCCAAAGCGTGGAGTCTAAGTCCCGGTCTGTGCTTTCACCAGGGCCCCTGATGGTGGGGATGGACTTGAAACAGACCGGGACCAGGTCACGACCTCCGAGCAGGCCCACCAGTGGCAGGGGCAACCTCCGGGGATGTATTGGTACCGGGAGAGCCAGATGTGAGGAGGACGGCAGGACCTAGCAGGATGGATCACGAGCGGGGGTCCCGTGGGGTAGGCGAGGTACAGAATCGGCAGGCGGAGAGTAGTCAGGTCACACGCAGGGTCAGCAGGATAAGTCAGTTCGTAGAGAGGTCAAAACAAGCCGAGGGTCAGGATGGGAGAAGGCAGAGTAGTCAGGACAATCCGGGTCAACACAGGAGTAGGCAGCGTAGTCAGGGTCAATCAGGGTCAAAAACACAGGTACAGGACTCAGGAACTCAGATAGACCTTGCGGCGATTACTGACA